GAATAATGAGGGCAACAAATCTATAGATGTGCTTTACACAATTGATCTATGTATTGTGATGAGTTGTATGAGCCCCAATAAATTGATTTTTTTTAAAAAGAAACAGGAGAGGCCTCTCTTTTGGAGCCTCTGAGGGGGTGTGAGGGCCACTGGTGGGGATGGCCTTGGGGATGATGCTAATGTCCTTCATAATGAACCAGGGACCCCAGGACAGGACGTGCAGGAGTTAAGAGGTCAGGGTCACGGTGTAAGATAGGGTAGGGGTAGGAAGGGGCAGGCGGCGGGGATGGGGGGCTGATGAGAGGTGTGGGTGGTTGGGGGGAGAAGGGTGGTAACGGTGGCTGGTGGTGAGGGATTGTGAGGGGTGATCTGGAGGATCATCTGGGGCCCATGGGGCTGGGACAGAGGGAACAAGGGACAGCAGGGGAAGTAGGTTTGGCCGTTCTGGCTGTCGGAAAGCAGCTGGCTTTGGGTGAGAGGAAGCTGTGGCCTGGGAGGGACTGAAGGCTGGGGCAGGGAGGGGTGAGTGGGGGAGGTTGATTAGCTGGGAAGGGAAGGGGTGGGGTGCTGACTTCGGGGTGCTCACTGAGGGCAGGAGGGGGCTGGGCACTCACCATCAGGCTGCCCCTCCAGCACTCCAGGCTCGCCTGCAAAACGGTTTCTCTCTGTGGACACAGGGGCTCAGCTAGCTGGTGCCCTCAGGCCAGGCCAGTAGAACTGGCCACAGGGACCCAGGTGGTCAGCGCCCACGGCCTGCACCTCATAGTCCGGAATCAACGTGAGGAAGAGCTGCTTGTTCCGAATCTCAAAGGCTGAGGGTGTGGACGAGGCCCCGAGGGTCACCCGTTGGTCCGAGGGCAAAGAGATGTTGGCCACGGGCGCCGTGAGGATGGTGTTCTCCTTGATCTCGAAGGTCTTTGGGTTCACCGAGCAGACTGGAGAGGGGCAGGGAGGTTTGATGCCTCTGGCCCCCAGCCCCCGGCCCCCAGCCCCACCCTGCGCCACTGCCTGTCCTCTGCCCTGGGCCTCGCTGCCCACCCACCCTGGGCCTGGGCCTGGGCCTCTGGGGCTCGGTGCACCAGCCCTGTGAGCAGCAGCAGCAGCAGCAGCAGCGGCGGCAGCGGGGGCAGCCGCCACCGCAGCAGGGCCTCAGCTCCCATCCTGGCAGCCACGGCCTCCTCCCACACTCTGGGCGCCAGGACCCCAGGACAGCCAGCTACATGGCGCAGTTCCTGCCTTGCTGGTGGACTTCGCTCCTGCCAGGCACCGCCCCACTTTATGATCTTTTACAACCGGCCTCTGCCAGGAGGCCAGGAGGGCTCCTGCCAGACTGTGCCTGGCCACTACTCAGGTGGTACTGTCCCTGGCTGGGGCACAGCTTGGGCTGCTCACCTGGAGGCTCACCTGCTTGCTGCTCGGGGTCACATGTGCCTGGGAGGGGTGGAGAGGGTGCTGGTGCAGGGGCTGGGGCATGGGGGCCAGGTCTGATGCTAGGAGAGGGTGCTATAGGCAGGGGCTGGGGCCAGGGCAGAAGGCATTACTGAGCAGCAGCAGAGGTTGGGCTGGGTCCTGTGGTCCGCATCTGTCACCACTGTACAACCTCCTCCTGCCCTGTCGCAGGCTGTACCCCTGCCCCCTCACTTCTAGAACCTCCTTGGGGCAAAGTCCCTAAGACAAGCCTGAGAGGAACTTGGGGTGGGAGGGGTGCGACCAGGCCCTTCTCTTTGCACCAGGCCGCCAGGTGAAAGAAGAGGCTCTTTTGCATGGCACAGGCCTGCCTGCTCCAGGACTTAAGTCCATTTCCGCCAGGTGGGGCTGGGCAAAGCCCAGCACTCGGAGATGGCCGGGTTTACAGGCCAGCTGACGCCAGCGCCCCCAGGGGGGTGTTGTGAATTGGACTTGAGTGTATGTGACCAGCCCTGATCTCACATGCAGGTATAGCCCTTTTGGTAAGGGCTGTTTTGGTCCTGAGCCAGGATTAAGGTAGGGTCATCTTGACTCAGCCTCTCATGAGCTCCAGGCAGGCAGCAACCGGGGAGATGCCAGCGCCCTGACCACAGCTCCCCTCCCCCAAGTGATCCTCAGAGAGGTTGGCACCACCTGGGAGCACCCACCGAAAGGATGGGACTCCCCAGAGAGCCAGCAGCCTGAATTTGGTCCCAGCCTCCTAGAGCGCGAGAAGAAGCCCCGGCCGGGGCTGCTAACTACAAGGTCAGGAGTTTGAAGCCACCAGCTGCCCCGAGGGAGGAAGATGAGGCTCTCTGCTCCATGAACAGTTCTACCCAGGAAGAGAGGGAGAGCCGATCACCATGGAAGCAACAGAAACATGGGTGAAGGGAGATGCGGACAGTGTAAGATATGAAAATAATGATAATTTATCATTTATCAAGGGGTCACAAGCGTGGGAGGGTGGAGAGGGAGGGATAAAAGAGGAGCTGACACCAAGGGTTCAAGTACAAAGAAAATGTTTGTTTTGGAAATGATGATGGCAATTTATGTACACATGTGCTTGCTACAATTGATGTATGGATTATGTATGATGTATTGTTCTAAGAGCTATAAGAGCCCCCTCAAAATGCCATATATAGATAT